CAAGCCGTCGGAGCCGGAGCCGGCGGGCACACAGGGCACGGGTGCCGAAACCGCCTCGCCGGTCTGGCCACGTGTGGTGTGGGCGCATCCGTGCCCAGCTCCAGGAGGGCACGCTGGCAACGAGCGGTGTCACCGCTTGTCCCTCCCATGCTGCAACCAGCCGTCACTTTCGCCCAGCTGTCCAGGCCGTCCTTCTCGGTTCGTCGGCCGTGCCACGTCGCCCGCCAGGGTCGCGAGAGACAGGTAGCGGCTGCGGAGCGGAAGACCCTCAGCACGTCGCAGGAACGGAGCGCCAGGAGTTGCCCCGCGATTCTCGTGAACATGTGGAGTCGCGGGGAAGCCCCCAAAACTCCCGTCCCAATCCACCTAGGACATACCAGACAATCCAGTACGCCCACCGCCATCTTCGGGCCGAGCAGCTCCTGCATGTCTGCCCTACGGGCGGAGGATCCTGTACCTCCCCGTCGCCATGTTGCAGCACGGCCGCGGGACCAGGTCAGAATGCCGAAGAGCATCAGCACCGACATTGTGAGCATGAGGAGTCGCGGGGAAGGCCCCCGCTCCCGCCCCATCCCATCAGGACATTCCAGACAGCCCAGGCCGCACAACACCAGGGACGCAACCAAAAACAGCAGCTTGAGGGGGAGGCGAGGGCTGAATCTCCTGCGTTCCCTGTGCACACGGGCGGTCGTCACGCACTGCACCAGCAGCTTGCACAGCATCGTGCCGTATTCCAGCTCGTTCCCCGTCGTCCTGCACAGGTCGAGGTGGAGGTGGGGGCAGAATTTCCTGCGCTCCCCCAGCCCTGCCTCGAACCTCGTGGACTGCACACATTGCTCAACCATCAGCCTGCGCCAGCCTGGCAATAATAGAAGGTGGCTCAGGTCGATGTCGTCATTATCAGGTCGTCCGACACCTGGGAGAGCACAACCACCATCCTATGGACAACCTCCAACGTCGCAGGGACCAGCATCCACCTCCAGAAGATCCGCCAGTCTCCTTGCTGGTCCCTGCTTCGGTTTCAGTTCGAAGTCTCCCACATGATACTCCTACTTTCTGCTGCCTGCTATAAATTGCTACTGACCGCGCGATGGGGGGGAAGCTCCAAACCAGCACTTCAGCTTCCCCGAACCACGTTGCCCGAATTCTTGTGGGGCCCGTTGGGCACATACAAATACATGAGATTCGCGCCCCCCAGGCTACGATACCTTATAAATTATACCAGGTTCGCGCCACCGTCAAACGATCCATTTAAAATTACACAGCATGAGCGCTCCCGAGGCCAGGATCCTCATACATTACACCATGTTCGCGCCCCCGAAGCCACTCTCCTAAGTGAATTACGCAAGAGTTGTATCCCCTGCCTGGGCCACGATCCCTTGTAAATTGCGCGATACTCGCATTTCCGAAATCACGATTCCTGGTAAATCATGCGCGTTCGCGTTCCCGAAGCCACGACCCCGCAGACATTGCGATATGTTCGGGTCCCTGTGGGCACGATCCCTGGTCAATGACACGTTCGCGTTCCCGAGGCCACCATAATTTGTCAAGTGCGCAACACCCACGCGTCCGAGGCCACGATGCCTCTACACGATTCGCGCCCCCGAGGCTGCAATCCCTCGTGAATTCTGCAACATCCGGGCCCCCGGGGCGACGGTCCGTCGCATATCACACCAGGCTCGCGCCCCCGAGGCCACGACGCCTCGTCAAGCACGCGCGAGGCTCGGCAGAGCACGCCACCTTCGCGCCCCCGAGGCCGCGACCCCTGGCAAATTGCACCATGCGCGCGCCCCCGAGGCCACGATCCCTGTAACCTGCGCAAGATTCGCGCCCCCGAAGGCTACGACTCCGAGCACAAGCAGAAAAAAACTGGTTCGCGTCTCCGAGGCCACGATCCCATGGAAAGGTACGCAATGGTCGCGCTACCGAGACAACGCCCCCTCGCAAATTATGCCATGTTCGCGTCCCCGAGGCAACGATCCTTTGTAAGTTACGCAATGTTGGCGCCGAGACCACGATCATCGAATGACTTGCGCCATGCCTTGCAAAATACGCCGAGGAACGGGAAGACCGTTCAACCAGCGCGATGTTGCCCGACGTAGCCTCAAGCAGCTCACAGTCGATCAAAGAGGACCTCCGACACACAGCACAAGTTCGAAAAAGGCAACGCAGAGATCGAACATATCATATTGATCTCAATTTGTCTTGAAGCTTACCAGTCGTCCTCGCACGAGGTTTCTATACTGGTTTACGACGGCGCCCAGGAATCCCAACATAGCTCCTGCATGTCCCATTATGATAGGGAGGGGACCGGCGGCAGAAGGCGAATCCCTACGGATCATCACACTCTGCAGCAAGATATACCCCGCGAGAAGCGCCTCCGATTTCCCGTAGAGCTCCGCCCGCGTCAAGGCGACCATCGCCAGCGAAAGGACATCTGCCATCAGTACTGTTTGGATTCGGTTGCGCCCAAATCGTACAGATATCAACAGCACTACGG